CATTTCTTCGCACACCTGCAAACAAGTAATGTGCCTCTAAAGAAGGATCCAGAAAGGATATTCAAAATCTAAAAGATAGCTCTGAATAAGTGCAAGAAATCTGATTTGACAAAATCCAGCAATATAAATTTGGGATCAGCATGTCACAGAAGTTAAAGAAAGGAAGTGCAAGAATATGTAAATTTTTATCTGAGAGCATGCACTAAGCTGAATGGACTTGTGCTGCATCACACAATTCCTTTTCATTTATTTGATTATGACCTCTCTTCCCTTGATTAATGCTGAAGAACACAGGAACATGAAAAGAAAGAAGTATGGTAAGGAAAGAAATAAATTTAACGTACTCTCAGTGTTCTGGTTGATGCTACCAGTATACTCTTCTGCAACATGCATTTGTATCTTCTCTTGCTGAGTACTATTCATAATGTCGCTCTCAGCAATATGCTCGATTTTGCCAGAATTCAACAGTGAGTCCACAAAACCAGCCCTTCTATCGACATGTTTATCTCTTACAGATGTGAACATATCTCCTGTAAATTTTGTGCATGAAACAGCCGAGAGAGAGAGAGAGAGAGAGAGAGAGACTATAGAAATGATACTTTTCAACTACAACAAAGTTTACGAGTGTCAGCTCAAAACAAATAATAGCTGCATGTGAGACAACTACCTTCCTTCCATTTCAGTACCACAGAAGCATATGGCTCTACAAGTGCTAGCTGAACAGGTATATCCGGAAAGAGACAGTGGAGCGCATATGCTGCAACTCTATTTTGGGAATCCTGAGGTGAAGGATTAGTAGAGCCTTTTTGGAATCAATTAGTGAGATACAATCACTCGAAAGAGAAAATATTATGACTTAACAAAATGCAAGTGGGATATCAAATGGTGCCAAATTAAATTTTCCAGTACGAACCGATGGTTCAATGGTGCTTTGGACGAATCTGAAGCAAAATAAAGGACATGGTCAGATGGGCAAATTTTTTCATTAGTAAAAACAAAGAATCTTATGAGGGCCATATTGCTATTGGAGAAGATACACTGATCTTCATTGTCAAACATTATATGGCATATGCAAGTTAGTACATCTAATATGTTCCTGCACAAAATTCACTATAAGGTTAGTTTGGAGAGATGAGTGGGTCTCCAAGTCATGATAGCACTCTTTAGGCTTCGAAAATTGTGCTTGTTAGTTAGTGCTGTACAAGCATTTCAGACTTATAAGGAAATATAGTTCTCCAGCACTAGAAAGTCACATTAGCTGCTATGTTTTCTTATTCATTGCCTATCTTCTGTTCCATTCACCTTTCTTCTTTGCCCGTTTCTATCATCTACCTCTTATGTGAGTTTCTTATGGAAATGGATCTTTATTCCTCACCTTGTGGTCAGAAATAAGCACAGGTATAGTTTTCCTTATGTCTGTCCGTATATCTTACTCAAGGAGCACAGTAGTGTGCTGCTAATCACTGGGGATAGAATACTTCATTTTTCCATTTCACCCTCTGGCTACCATTGTGATCAAGCCTAGTTTCTTTTTTTAACCAAACCGGTTACGATAATGGCGATAATTCTTAGTTTGTGGGAACAGAAAGGGGTGATCACAACTGAAATTGCTGTAAATGACACCAGTAGATCTAACTTCAGATTATGTCTCACCACGCTTTATGAACTAAAGCAAACTTACGCAAATAACTGAAACTGTGTACCAAGTGAATCTACATTCCTCAAGTCAGAATTTACACTAAATAAACGTATGACTTTTCTGTGTTTATTTTCTTCGTAAAAAGGTCTAAAATTCCAAAGCTGATAGCAACCGCTAATAGATCGGCATCTATTTACCTCGTATATATAATATCCAGCAAAATACTCCAATACAACTGTTACAACAAATTTACAGATACAAGTATGCATCTCATGTCAAAAGTAAATTTAAAATAAACAAAGAAATATGCAATAGGAAAGTCTACCAAGTAGGTGCTATCATGTTCACCTACATCTGCACATAATAGATGTCTTAAGCAAAAACCCCACACCCAGAAAATGCAAAGCTTGCAGCAATTTAAGTATAACTAAAGTTTCCGCTCGCTCCTTTTGTGCAATGCATAATGAGGACTCCTATTTTATTTATCATTGTGCTTGGTAAGTATCAGTTCTCAAGTGCAGTTATTTTAAAATCAAGATAAAGTCTTCTTGTTACTAACATAGCATACATTAAAAGGCACATATCTTTCAGTATTTTCAATCTTTAAAATGGCTTTATGATAACTTTGCCTTGGCAGAGGGCAGGTGGCATACCTCAGGTGAATTATAACTTTCATCTGGACTAGGAAGCTCAATGGTGGTCAATCCGCCAGCTTTTCTATTTTTACCTCTTCCACTAGCCTTGCGTAGTATGCTGATCGAGTAACCAGAACTTTTCCCTTTTCCAGGAATTTTATCATATTTTGGTGCTTCCCATCCTGATCTTTGGCAAAATTGGTGAAGAAGAGCCTTAGGAATCTTTTTTGGATCTCCCTATAGTTATATCAACCAACAACAGTTACAAGAGAGACAATGTTAAATAAATGCAATAACACTTAATGCGGATGAAATTCAGTTCATCAGCCAAGAAAAAAATTAGCAGAAATGACAGGAACAAAACAAATGAAAGAGATGGCGTACATATATCATGAGAAAATGAGGAAAATAGTCCATGTCCTTCAATAAGGTAGCTAAATAAGACACAGGGTACCACACTCAATACTAGACTACATCGTATTGGCATCATTCAAAGGGGGAAAAAAAGCACTCGAAATTCAATCATGAAGTTGCCTCGGATGCGTTTCATGGATGGTAGCTCTTACCTCTTTCCAAATTCCTTCCATTTTCTCTTTGTTCTTCCCACTGCAAAGTTCCTTCAATCTTTCCTTCTTCTGTAGTTCCAATATTTCAGGAGGTACTTGATTGGACGTGTCACCATCTTCCCCAAAAAAATCACCAAGTTCTACATCACCAGATTCCCTTTCCAAATCATCTCCATTTTGAGTTTGGATATTTAAAAAAGCAGGGTCGGATGAGTGATCACGTGCTGCAGAGCTACTAACGTCCTTTACATCAACTTCAACACTAAACTCCTTACAGGCTGTATCATGTTCTATAATATATGCATTAACAGTATCACTGTCAGGGTTCTCTGAAGAGGCATCATGTGAAGCTACATCATTACTTGCATGACGAGAAGAACTTATATATCCAGCTTCCAAAATATCAACAGACAGCCCTGAGAAATAATTATAATTCAATCAACATGATGCACTTTAAATTTGTCAGAAATTACAAAATGAAGGCAGATCGAACAATGTTGACCACCTAAGGCAGATATCTCCTGCTTAAGTTTCTGAATGATTACACCTGCTTCATTCTGGCTTTTCTTGTCACCTCTATCTTTGGCATTTGCAGCTTGCAACCTTGCAGCACGATAGTCCTCAACAATTAACTCATAGTTGCTCCTTGGTTCGAGGACCTACCACAAAAGAATAGCATTTAAAAATAAATGTTGGATTTAGGAGTAAAACATCAAAGTTTCTTCGTTTTAGTCTTGAAGAAATAGGCAGTCCACAGTAGGCATTTAGCCCAGGAGATGTGTCTAGAACAGCACATGCATTACTGGAAAAATACACAAAAAAGGACAACGTTTCTAAGAGAAGGTTTGTAGGGGCTCAAGATTCAAATTAACTTAGAACTGCATCATCATCATCACCAATAATAATAATAATAATAATAATAATAATAATAATAATATATAAAAAAAATAAAACATAAATTAACAGAAGAAACCTGTAGATAGTTATGGCCAGGTTATCATCATGTCCTAATCTTTGTTGGATGACACAAAAGGTAAGATGGGAAATGCAAAACTGAAACGTGAATCAAGACATCCTCCAATGATCGAGGGAAACAAAACAGAAAAAGAGAAAATAAAACTAAAGTTCGCATCTTGTACTATTAATTTATGCATGGTTATCATTATGTGATACAAGCCTATGATTGTGTTCTCCTAATGGGTAGTTATTAACTGAAAGTACCTTTTTCGATGTATCATTATCCAGTGAAGAATTTTCCCAGGAATCAGATTCATCCTGCAAAAGAAACTTTTTATGATCAACTGTCTTACTGTCATTATGATTCAACAAAAACTTGCCACCTTATGCTGTATAACTGCACTTCATAGAACATGATAAATCAGAACGCACACACACACACACACACACATAGCTCTTTATTTAACAACAAAGTAGGTAAGGAAGCCGCGATGAGTGTAAAATAAATCATGTAAGAAAACAGTATTCTTCACATAATATGGCTGCTACCCGTTCCAGAAAGTGGTAGCCATTTCCACAATATGAAGGGCCCTATCTCCTCAAATATATGAATCAGCACAAACAGAGCATGTCGAGTTTACATTGAAATGGACTGGAAAGAGCATAATGTATTACACAGAAAATCAGCAGAATCCTTAAGGAAACCAGGCCAATTGTGGTATATCTCATATTAATCACAAGTTTACGCATCCAGGATTGGGGACAAAACTTCAGCAACCCAACATCTCTGCCTATATTAGATCTTCTACACAGTTAGCGGATTTTACCTACCAGAGAAGAACCAAAATAATTCTAATAGCATCACTGGCTAAAGACAACCATGTGAAAGTACCTCTTCCTGTTGTTCCATATATTGACGGATCCAGTCTGCTTGAGATTGCTGAACAGAACCTAATTTGTCATCGTTTTTCCGCTCTTTAATTCTAAGAGGAGCTTCTGCCTTTTCCTCCACTATACTTGCCGAGGAATCTCTCGATGAAACCCAATCTTCGCGAGCAGTTGATATGACACCAACAGAACCTGCCCGGAAAGTGTATTAAGTGTCGCTTATGCTCTGTCAAACAAAATGATTTATAAAATGCCTATTCTGAAAAGCAGTGATGAAATTAGCATCCATTTAAAATCTGATTAGCTGAAGTCAACATGCCAGTACCTCCACTAGTGTGCAAAGAACTGCCACTTGAGAACTTCAATGGGAGTTCATTCCCTGGAATATTTAAACACAGCCAGTCCAAAGCTGCCTCGTATGTTGAACTCTCCTAGAAAACATAAACAAAACGGTACCAAAAAAAGGCATCAGAATTCCAAATTGGAAGCTCGAAGTGAATTCTTCTAGCAAACATTTCTTATCCATGCCACGTCTAGTGGATTCTCTACCTGTCTTTTACGTTCTAATGTAAAACCTCCACATCTTGATTAGCAAAACCACTAATCTAATTTCACTAAAACCAAATTGCGTTCTGTGTTTTTGGTTCAGCTAAACTCACAACCAACAAAGACTAAAATTCGTGGGCCAACCTTGAGAGTGGAGAGAACAAGTTCAATTTGGTCATCCTTAAAGCCATCGCAGGACAGATTCTCGTAGACCGATCGGAGCTTCTTGGCTTTTTGCTCTTTGGACAGCGATCCATCGGACGGCGCCGACGAAGGCGCCGATCGTCCAGAGTTGAGAAGGAGACGGCGGAGACGATTTTCATTCTCCGCCGATAGTTGGAGTTTGGGTCCGGTGGATGACGCGGGTTTCCCCTTTGATGACGACGACGATGACGCCTTCTGTTTCTGCTGTTTCTTCTTAGGCGCCATTTCTGGATGCTTGAGAGAGTTTCGGAAGGGGAAATTTGGAGGTCACCGGAGTTTTAAACTGTTGCAGATAGTGGGCTGCTGCAATTGGGCCCATTATCAGAATTGGGTTGGGTTCATGACATGGGTTGTGATTAGGGCTGAGCATGCCATTCGGAGAATTCCGAACCGTTCCGAAAACCGAACCGAAATCACCCCGAACCGAAAAATATTCATTGATCGTTTGACTTTCTCCGAACCGAACCGAAAAAATAATTAGTACGGTTCTGGATATTTCATAAATATCCGTACCGAGAACCGAACCGAACCGTCCCGTACCGTACCAAACCGAAGAACCGAATTATAAAAATAGATGCATGTTATTAATATATTTTATGCCAACTTTGATCCTATATAATTTGAGAATTTTTAAAATATAAATAAAATATAGTAATAACAATTAAGATTCACTTACATTTCATGTTTAGTAATACTTGATCTACAATTGAATTTCTCCTATTTAAAAAAAAAATTATTAAAATGGAATGAAAGGTTAAAGATTTAAAAAAAAAAAAATTTAAGCTTTACTTAAAGTTGTCGATACTTAGCCTTAGTTTATCTTATAACTAACATGGTATAAAAGGTTAAATAAATATTATTTAAATGTTAGTTAAATTTAGTCTTAACTAAAATTTAAGGTTACTTCTAAAGTTGATTTAAAAATAAAATCTTTAGTATGATGAAGTATTGATGAATATTGGATTTTTTATAAAACAAAAACATATAATAAAATATAACTAGGCGGTCATAAAAAAAAATTAAAAATGATAAGAAATTTCCGAATATTCGAATTGAACCAAACCGAACTGAACCGTTCCGATAGTCCCGAAATCCGAACCGAACCGAACCGAAAAATAAGAATTTCCGAACCGGACCGAACAGATTTTTTGGTACGGTTCTAGAGATCGAATTTTAGTGATCTCCGAACCGTACCGACCCATGCTCACCCCTAGTTGTGATAAATGCACACTCCATGTCATTTTTTAACTAATATGAATCCTGATTCACGAGTAAAAGACACTAGTACAACACCCATGTATTACATGAGTGGGGACGGTGCCTCATCCCGGACCGTTCATGGACGGATTAATAAAAGTGGGATCGGTATCCGGACAAGTCAAATTCAGGACCGTCCCGGCGTGTGCCCACCCCTACCATAAATAATCAACATATTATAGATAATCCGAACCTAAATATATTTGGATTGGAAGTAAATTAAATCTACCCAAGCCTAATAACGAAGCATGTATTTTTGCCACATAGGATCCCGAAGCATGCGAACTTGCCACATAGGCTCAACACGTTCTTAATTAATATATATGGGGGATTTGTTAATATTTATAAATTAAAAATATGAAATCAACATTTTATATAATTTACCTACATTAATTTATTGAAAATGTTATATGAAATTTAAATTGTACAAATTTATATATCTAAGTACGATACAACTGATAATTAATTATATTGTATTCATTTCAAAATAAGTTTCACTTTAAAATTTTTATTCATAAATGTATATTCTTGATTATTTTTTGCCGTTGGATCATGTGATCCGATGACTACGATGTATTTTTTTTTCTTTCACTGAACATCATTCTCACCGGAACGCGTGCTTATATTTATTTATTTATTTATTTAATTCAATTCAATCTTGCAAAGTAAAAGAGGTCTAAGAGTTTGTATGATCGGATTGTACTTTTTTGGTGCTTTATTAATACAACTTCTTCAATTTACACCACATGACAACAACAAAAAATCAGAAAACTCACATCAATCAGCCACTTAATTTAAACCACATGTAAACAACAAACCAAACATAACAAAACAAAACAAAAAAAAACTCTAACATTAGATCACACCATACAATCTTTGTTCAAACTTTTTCCTTCAATTTAAGAAAATAGAACCATACTCAACAACAAAAAAAAAAAAAATATACATATATATAAACAATAAAGCCTCAAACTCAAATACTCCACTGCAGGTGTGAAGATGCATAGAGATGAGTATTACTAGAAGCTCCCTTCTTTCTCCCAAACAAGTCCCCAACAAGAGGCACAATGGGCTTCTTTTTCCTCACTTTCCTCTCCTTTTTCCTCCCCACAAACAAACCCTCATCCTCCCCAATACTCAGAATTTGAGCCAACTTTTTCGATGTACCCGCCACGTCAGCAGGCGCCACGTCAGCCCCCGCCAGCTTGGACACGTTCCTCCGCACCTCGGCCAACGCCACCTCGTTCTCCGACTCTCTCTCCTTGAGCACCTTCAGCTCCTTTTTTGCCTCCTCGAGCTCCACCTCAAGCTTCCTAACGGCCTCCTCGAGCAATATTGGGCTTGGGGAAGCCGTGTGGGCCCACATTGGGCTTTTATTGGTTATTGGGCTTGGGGAGAAGATTGGGGCCTCCTTTTGTGGGAGTGTGAAGGGTTTAGGGTTGATTATAATTTCTCCCGCCAAAAAACGCTCCCCGAAGATGGCCACGGCCTCCTTCACCGAGCGAAAAGGGCGGGAAGTGTCGATGGTCGAACGCCGGCTATCGGGTTCGGGGGCTTGGGGTTCTTGCATTTTTTTTTTGTTT